ATACATAACATCTGTGAGAGCGCAACTTACCAAGTCTCGTTGTCTGCACGGCACGGCAAATTGTATAGGTGCGAGAAACCATGAACCATAACTGATTTCGCTAGCGCTAAACTTGGAAAATTCAGTGGATTTCGCACTGCGCGCGATTGCTTCCTTCGAAAGAACTTCGCACCTACAAGAGTATCGCTGTCCATGTCACTATCCGTATCGTGATTCTCAGGAGCGCGGTCGTCTTCCCACCAATTCTTAAATTCATGGTGCCTGTCTCGTTCATATATACGTTCACAATACTCATAGAAATCGAACGCTTCCTCCCATACATCGAACCCGAAAACAATCGACATCATTATGCGTAAAGTGTTTCGCAACGCAGGTCGAAATATCGTATCGTGCGAACTGCACAACGACTTGCATCGATGTATCGGAATCCCACGTACGCAACGCATCATATCTAAAAAGACACCAAGCCTCTTGTACGACCACTGTCTTCGCATATAAATTCTCATATCGGTTGTTGTACTAACTAATCGTAGTATCGTGTCAGCCGCACGTTGCACCGTAGCGTATGGAGCAATAAGACTCAATGAAGCAGCTGCAACCAAATTTCCGATTGATAAACAGTACTCGAACGCATTGATCAAAGAAAAATGAATTTCTTTCCTCGAAATATCACTATTACTGTCAAATCCATGACAAAAGCGACCGTACAATAATCGCACAAACAGTGCGCTACAGTTGTACTCATGTGCATTCTCGAATGAATTTACGCTGAGTTGCGGTAATTTTAGCAATTCAGGCAATATTAGTCGTATAAAGTCACGATCGCTGACAATTCGCCAGTCATATTTCTCTCGTCGCTCATAAGGAGTAAACCACGATACGCTGTTTCCCGTCGTTTGTCGATGTTCTGTTGCTCCTTGTGCTAGGAATCAGGTCGAGTCGTTTCCGAAGTACTTTCTTCGATAGCATTTAGCGTCATCAATAATTTATTCTCTTTGTAATGATATAGCGCATCGTCCATTTCTTTCGTATATGCACGTAACATCAGGATCAAGCAATGAACCAGCAGTTTTCGATCGTTTAATTGACTATTAGCCAGCAAAGTCCACATAGCGGCTGAAGATTCGCATGTAACTTTTTGTGATCGAATCGTTCGAGCAATTGCAACCAATGACAGTTTAGGTAGCCTCGTATTGTTGACGTTATACAGCTGAGTTTTATAAAACGTGCGAGCGGTGTCAAGCGCGTGCGATAATGCTTCGGCTATCAATGTGTCTTGCAACAAGTCGGTTCGGTGTGCGAAATCACCGGTCATTCCAACTCGAACGATTCCGTTGACGATTTAGTACGAAATCGATGCCTACGGTTGAAGTAGTTTCGATGCAGCACGCGCACTCGACTGCACGTGATCGCTCGACCACAATATAGCGAACGATGGATACTCGACGATCCATCCAAGGCACAGCATTCAAACCATGGGACACGAGGTGTAGAGGACAAAGTCTGACTCTATCTCATATTCGAACAAATCATCTTCTTCGGTGTCGCTGCTCGAACTGTCGCTGACGAACTTCCAGAGATCTTGGTGTTTATATCGAGCACCTCTTCACTGCGTGGCATTGCGCGCCGTGTAATCACGAGATCAAATCTCGTCCCGTCAAACACGAACAACTCGTCCCAATCGCTGTCGCTGCTCGAACTCTTCGACGAATTCATTGCTGCACGAATAAATTCTTCGTTCAGCGATCTTGGCGTTTTTATTGAGCCACTCCCCTCTCCATCCACATCCCCCATCCCCACTACGTGGCATTACGTTCGCTAATATTGCGACGTATTCATTTCATATGTTCGATAATGTGTTTTAATATCGAATTTGAATGGCAAAGAGTATAATCACTCTACAAACAGGACATTCAGTTCGATTTTCGCTACAGTACGTACACGATAATGTATGTCGGCAAGGTAAAAACAAAACGTTTCGTTCATATTCGTAACATATGATACACTCGTGTTTACACTCTTTGAGTTTCTGCTGAAATCGAAATGTCGGTGTCGACGGCGTCAGCGCATCGCCGTCAAAGATTCATTCGCATTTATACGACTGCCTGACTGACTCTGTTTGTTCGATTACTAAAAATAAGTTTTCACGAATCGCGGCATGGTCCGTATGACGTAGCACATTCAACAATAGAGTAGCTCGGTTACAGATATTTTCTATTTGCACGACTGAATTTGAAGTGTTGCATGACATACGCTCAAAGCTTTCGATCAATTTCGTATATTCTTTTACATCGCGCTGCGTGGTTAGAAACAGATCGTTCATACGATCCGAAAGAGCTGTAACGCCAAGAGTGTCATTTGTGCCAATCGAACGAGTAGCCGCCGGTATGTAACCCATTAACATTGGATCAACTACGCGCTCATCGAAGTCGCGTTGTCGTCGCCGATGATCGTATGCAACAGATCGCCGCATATTGAGGCATTCGTCCTCATCCATGTTGGAACGCTTTTGAACGCTCTCGCATACGCTGGTGATGGTACACTCGTTCTTCTCCATGCCAAGAATGTCATTGATATCACCACCATCATCATCATCATCACCATGGTCGAACCTGATCGGTCTTCCCGGTGCCGGGATCGGAGAAGCAGCTTCCTCTGATTCGGGCTCAGCAGTACCTTCGTTGAGAATATGAATGCGGGATACAACTTTGGCCCAGGAACATTCTCGACTCCAGTACAAATGTTCCCTCCACGAATCAAATGTGTCATTCGTTATGGTCACATCGTCACTGCTATGCCAATTCTTCAATACGAGTCCGCACATGTAGCATGTCATCAAATCGGAGATACCTGTGTAAAAGAAACCGACCCACGCTAAATCTCGATGATGCCGTCGCGATGGCAATGCGTCGCGTAACCATTAATCAAAACTGGCCAATCGTTGTTCGAAAGAATCAAATTGCACATATATAGGCTGCTCTAACTGTACGCTCGATGTAAATTCTCGCTGCACACTGCCTTGTATCGTCGTCGGCGACGGCCTTGTTTCGTCCTCTTCGCTGTTGAGACGGCAAACGTTGTTGTCGCTCGCTGTGACGAAACGACGACGCGGTGTCGTTGACGCCATGCCGCACTGCTCCTTCTATTCTTTGGGTGACGGACGCAATAAAAAATATCGGCAAATTAGCAATAATTGTTCGGCGATGTCGAGCTTCTTCTTACTGCTACATGATAACACGACTCCCTTCTTTAAAAAGAGATAAAATGTGATCGTCTAAGCGTCACATTGTCGCGCCGAACAGATGCTACCAAGTTGAGACGTTTCAGTGAAGATTTCACATTAGCCGTTGTAAAAACTTGGGTTTAGATATCTCCTAATCTAATCTTAACCTAACCTAACCTTTTTTTTACGAGGAGGAAATCCATCATGGATACCCTGACCATCGGGGAAGGGCCAGGGTTATGCCGGATTCCTACCGGCTAAAACATCCACAAGTGGCGCTGCGAAGGGGCTTGGATCGGGGCCCCGAAGCCTACGTAACTGCTGATCGGGATCCCGAGTCCAGATGTAGACCATCGTCGATCCCCGAGGGGGGGAGGGGGAAGCGAACCAAGGCTCCTCTTCGACCACCGTTCCCAGGGGAGGGGAAAGCCAGCCAGAGGCTCGCTTCGACCGCCGCTCCCCTTTCCCACCTCTCACGTCCCGCCTCTTAGACTGGGAAGAGGGAAGCCGGCAACGCCTACGCTTCGACCTCCGTTCCCAGCCAGGTGGGGCGCTGCCATTACATGATGTGCGGCCAACTGATCCACCTTCTCAGCCGGCCGCCCTACGTTTGGAGGGTTTGTTAGGGCACCGGGAGTCCCTGCCCGATGTCCCATCCTCCCGCCCGGCGGTTACGGGGGGAAACAATCCCCTGGCCGCCGGGCGCTCCCTCCCCTGTGGGAAGAGGGGAGGAAGAGGGGTTACCATCCTCCCTTCCTTCACACCAGATTAATTAATGGGGGGAGAGGTGCTGACTGACCGTGACAACGCCACAGTCGCATCCTTTCCCCCTTATCCTCATCCTATTCCCGTTTGAGGGGGAGTAGGTGACTGACGGAGGAGGGGAAGTGGGTCACTTCCCACCGCCATCCTCCTCCTCGTTCTTCCTGCCACCGTCTGTGTGGCCGGCAGTGTCGTTGCCGTCGCTGCTTTCCTTCCCCTGGCCGGTTGCCTGTTACCCGTCGTTGCAGCTGGTGTACGTCTGGGTGCCCTCAGTCGAGCGTCCCGGCGTCTCGCTTGCGCCCTTCCTGGGGGAGATCTCCCTCTTGAAGGGGAAGGAGCAGGCTGAGGGGGTGGAGGGGATGGTGGTCGCACCATTCTCCGTAGTTCCTCCTCGGAGGAGGAGTCGGCGTCCCCCTCCCTGCTCCTACTCCTCCCCGCTCTCCATAGGCGGTGGCGTTCCCTCCGCCTCCGCCTTCTTCCCCGCCCTCCCGCCTCTCTGCGGATTTCCTCCGTGGCCTCCTTCTGCGAGAGGACCGCTTAGCAGAAGGAGGTAAACACCCTCCACTTCTTCTCACTCCCCACAATTGCCCCGACCATCGTGGGGAGTGAGAGATCGCGTCCAAATTCCCGTATCACGACTTCGCGCTCAGCGCTCCAGGCAGGGTAGTCCTGGAGCGTGTGCTGCGCGGAGTCGTGATCGTGATCGCAGTGGTGGCACTGCGTTGTGCGCTCCTTTCCTATTCGGCACAGGTATTCACCGAAGCATCCGTGCCCGGTCAGCACCTGTGCCATCCTAAAAGTCAGGGTCCCATGTGCCCTGCCCACCCAGTCCGGCAGGCAGGGCTGGACGGCCTCGACGGTCCTCCTCCCATATCTGGCATTTGCCAGCATCTCTGCCATCTCTGGAGGAGGACCTGCCGAGCCTGGTTCATTTCCCGCACTGCTCCGGCGAGCGCGATGTCTGCCCGCTCGATGAGATCCCGCTTCCTGATGTACGTTCTCCTGTACATCAGGGCTAGGAGCTCGATGGGGGCATGCTCGCCAGAGCTGTCGCCCCCACGTGGGATACAGTCCGGTAGCAGCGGGCCACCCTGACCGCCAGCGCCCTGTGCACCCTGCATAGGGTTGCTTGCATCGGGCGACTGACGGCTAGGGCTTCCGCCCAAATCGGTGCCCTGTACAGGGCCACCGAATTTAGTATCCCCGCGTGGAGGAGACGTGCCATCCCGTCTGGTCCCTCGATCCTGGGCATAAGCCTACCAACGTAGGCTGAAACCGCTCTCAGCCGGGGAACCAGACGATTGAAGTGCTCCCTGAAGCACCAGGTGCCGTTCAATGTGAGGCCCAGATATCTCATCTGGGCCTCTATTGGGACCCTAACTCTTCCTACCCGGATCTGGGCCTGGGGTGGCTTCATTCTTCTTCTATGGAGGAACATGGCCACTGTTTTTCTTTCTGCCACCACCAGACCCAGATTGCGAATGGAACGCACGACGCATGCCAGCTCAAAATTAGCCGTTCTCACGGCCTTCCCCCAGTCTATCCCCCCGGCTAAGATGAGCGTGTCATCCGCGTAGCAAATAATGCTACAGCCGGGGGAGGGCAGTTTGGAGGACTGAGTTATAGCCGAGGAGGTGGCCCAGAACGGACCCCTGTGGAACCCCGCAACTCATCCCCCTCTCGCATACCTTGCCGTCGGCGTCCCTCCAGGTTAGACGCCGACCCCGGAAGTAATCCTCGATGACGGCCGTGAGGTAGGGTGGGAAGCCAAAGTAGCCACGCATGGCCTCCACCACCTTACCTCAGGGCAGGGTGTTGAATGCGTTGGCGATGTCAAGAGATATCGCCATCGCCACCCTGCCCTCCTGCACGATGGCCTCCGAGAGGGACCGCAGATGCTGAATCTCATCCATGGTTGAACGTCCCTCTCGGAAGCCGTATTGGCCGTCATCGAGGTCAGCACCTTCCCGGGACATATACTCCACGAGGCGGGCAGCTATAAAGTGCTCAAAGAGCTTGCCCGCCTCGTCCAGGAGGCATATGGGCCGGTATGCCGAGAGAATGTCCTCCGGCTTGCCCTTTTTACGGAGGAGGACCACATTGGCCCTCCCCTAGACTGGAGGGAATTTGCCTTCCCTCAACGCCTGCGAAAACATTTTCGCAAGTCTTTCGCTAATATACTCCGAGGCCAGGGTGAGGACTCAGCCGGGGATACCATCAGGCCCAGGAGCCTTCTGGTTCTTGACCTTTTTGATGGCTCCGGCCACCTCCTCCTCTGTGACCCCCGGTACCCTCCCTTGTTGTTCAGGAGTATGGGCTATATACGGGTCAATGGGGTACCCCTCTCCAACCGGGAAGAGGGTCCCCATGACCCGCTCTAGGAACCGGGGGTCTAGCGTTTCCGTCAATGGGGGCGCCCATGGTTTCAGCTTCTGCATCACCATATTATAGGGGCGCTTTCATGGATCCGCGTCCAACGACAGGAGGAAGATGTCCCACCCTTTGCTTCTGGCCGTCACGATGGCGTCTCTCAGTGCCGCAGCTGCTCTGCAAAAGTCCCTTCGGGCGGCCAGAGTGGCCTCGGGGTCTGACTTAGGATCGTTTCTGATCCTCCGAAAGGTCCGCCTGAGGCGGACCGACCTTCGCCTGAGCTCAGCGATGTGGTCGGTCCACCACCAGGCGGACCTTTTTGGGCAGGAACAGACCCTGGGCATTGACTTATTGCACGCCCTCGCGATTATGTCCACGATCTCCTTGACCCCAGAGTCCAGGTCCTGCCCCTCCATACGTTGTGGCCAGGTGGCTACTTCTAGGGAGGTCTCTAGGGCCTCCCTGTCCAACTGCTTCAGGGCCCAGCGCCCCGGTCGGGGTGCTTTGTTCCGCTGGGGCCGCAGGCCACTGGGGGTGACGGACAGCTCCATCTCTATAATGCGATGGTCCGATAAAGCCTCTAGTTCGTCCGCCACCCTCCATGTCTGCAACCGCCTCAGGGCCGCAGGTGTAGCTCAGGAGAGATCGATGATTGACTCCCCCTGCGACCCCACGAAGGTTGATTTCCTTCCCTTATTGAGCAGATGCAGACCTAGCCCTGCGGCCCAGTCTTTTACCTCCTCCCCCCGCCTGTCACCCCGCCGGGAACCCCACAACGCGGACTTCGCGTTGAAGTCCCCGGCGACGATGACAGGCCTAGGGAGGTACCGTGACACGGCCCTCCCTATTTCTCGGAGCCTGGACCTGAAACTTATCAGGTCCAGGCTCTTGATTGGGGGGAGGTACACCCTGACCACTGTAAGGGCTCCCCATCTGGCCACAACCTATCCTACCCCGTCACCTAATTTGGTGGCGGGTGACGAGTTTTCGCCCGCCTTCCATACCAGCGCTACGGAGCCTACCTCATCCCCGCACCACCTATCGTGATTTTTGGGGATTCGGTACGGCTCCGCAATAATTCCGAGGCCTGCAGCACCGCGCTCGGACATTGTGTGCTCAAAGAGCGGGATCGCTTGTCGGGCGCGGTGCAGGTTGGCCTGGAGGAGCTTAGTCGCCATTTTCGTCTTGTATGACCAACTTATCCGTTGGCTCCTCTGTTTCATCGCTCTCGCCATCTTCTCTCGGCCTGGGTCTCTTCTCTGTCCTCCTTTCCACCTCCATATCCTCACATTTTTCCTCCTGTGTGTTTGGGATGGAAGTTTCCTCTATGGGAGAAGGAGAAGGAGAAGGGGGAGGAGAGGACGACAAAAGCTCCTCTCCTCCTCCATCCTCTCTCTCCTTCCGGGGCGGCTGAAGGTGTTGGAGGCGTCGGTGCGGTTGCCTCCCCACTCTTCTGCGCTCTCACCGTTTTCTTCTAGGCGGACGGCAGGCCGGCCCACCCATTCTGTGTCCAGCCGGCCGCCCTGCGTCCATACATATCTGGCACCTGGCCCTTTCGCAGCAATCTCGGGCCAGGTATCCAGGTTCCCCGCATCTGTAGCAGTTGCCACTCCTGTCTATACTGCTCTTGCAGTTCTGCCGGACGTGACCTCTTTCCAAACATTTAAAACATTGCAGAGGCCTAGTTTCCAGCAGATCTGCCCTGACCTGGGTCCAGCCCATGACCAGTGTCCCCTTTTCTGCCGTTGCCAGGGGATACCGTAGCCACAAGACCTGGACCCAGCAGGTGTGGTTCTGATCATTCCGGTTTGCACCTCGGATACCCCACATCCCCCATATTTCGCAACGCATTCCGCCGCTTCCTTCTCCGTTGTGGAGATCTCCATTCCCCTTATTCTTATTTCCCCAGTTTTCTGACGGTTGATTATTGCTCTGTCCACCAGGACCTTCCTCAATTTTCCTGCCAGGAAGTCCGCTTGCTTGTTCCTGTCCTCCCCGGAATTTCAAAAATCAGGGCCCCCGTGGCACCTTGTCTTGTCCTTATTCCCGTTATCCCGAGGTTGTCGATGTTGATCTTCTTTTTCGCTTCTATCAACAGCTTTTTGTATTGTCCCTTTCCCGCCGTGATGGATATTGCCGCGGTGTTCGGGACTCTCCGCCTTACCTTCTTCTCCATGTTCTTCGCAGTGGGTTTCGGCGGGGACTGCCTTCTCTTCTCTTTTTTTCTCTTCTCTTTGCGTCCCACCACTGTAGCCCAAGTCTGTTCCGGTCCAGACTTGACTCTTTCCTGCCTCTGTGGCAGGGGTGGGTAATTCTCCTTCTGCAGGGGTTCGAGTCTGTTGTTGTTGTGGTCTTGGATCTTACTTTACCATTTGTTTACCCGTTATCCCTTTACTACCTTCTTTCCCTCCTTTCTTTCCCTTAGTTTTGGGTTCTTGGGTCTTGATGTTTCCCTTTACCACTTGTCCTTTTCCCTCCCATCCTCCCTATGGTACCTCCTCCTTTTCCTCCATCCTTCCCTGTGGTTCCTCTCTTTCCAGTCTGACCCTGGCATTGAAGGAAATATCTTCCCTTATCTTTGGGCCCTCGTGGTTTTTTCTTCCCGTACTATGTTCCTCCCTGATGAGGTGAACCTTAGCCGGCCTTATCAATCCGGATTGGACCTCGATCGCCCCCACTAACATGGGTTCCTCCTCATCTATGTCAGCAGATGGGGGCATGACCTCCTTCCCATGTTCCCTTTCCTTCTTATCCTCCTCCCTTACATACACTGCAGGCGAGGGGGTCATCGCCACTGGCGGCGGCGCCCCCTTTACTGCGTTGTGTGTTTCCTGTTGCACCCGAGGCGAGCAGGATACCGTTCTTCTTGGCGGTGCCTCCTTTATACTCGGTTGCATTCCTTTCTCATGCACAGGAGGCGAAAGGGATACCGCAACAGGTAGCGATGCCCTCTTTAGGCTTCGTATTGCCTCCTTCATCTCTTCCACCTCCTTTTTCAACTGTTCCTGGGATGCTCAGAGCTGCTGGTTCTCTTCTCTGAGCTCATCCATGATCTCCAGGTTTTCCCCACCTTCGCTCATCTCCATCCTTTTGACTATCAATGTTGTACCCGCAGCTATGGCCGCCGATGCATCCCGGAGGACCTTCACACTGGTCCCATTTAGGCTCCTGAAGCGGACTGAGAATCCTAGGATTTTCATTGCCGCATCTAGGACTGTAGATGTAATGTCCCTGAACGGGGATCGACTTCGCATCGTTCTACCCGTCGATCGGATGCCAGTACGAATTGTCAATGGAGACGGTTTACGTGTTGACCTGCGATCATCTATTAGAGATTCACGGCGACGACGAGACTGTTGGATCGAACCATACGCGACAGATTGGTGAGATGCTTCGATTACGAACTAGCGGACTCTTCATCGCGCAAAAGCACCGGTCAACTGCTGATCGAGTCCACGGACGACGACGCGATGACCGAGGATGATATGTCGCGTTACACGATTCGCGGTCGAAACTCGCTCGCAGCGGCGGTCGTTCGACGTCATGGCGGATGGTACGAAGGTGTCGAGTTCTCGAACGCACGCGAAATGATCGAGTCCAGCGTCGATCCGACGCGACGACGGATCCTCGTATCGAAGTGCCACGGTGAACGACGACCGGCCTATAATATGTTCCCTGTGGAGTCACTCTCTGCGTATGCGGAAGCGCTACAAAGTCAAGATGCGCGCGACAGATGACGTGTTTCAGCGACGCGTGTTCAGCTGCAAGGAGATGTTTAAAGTGTTCGCCATTCTATGTACGGATACCTGAATTACAGACGCAGCGTGGTGCATTCGCCGCAAGTTGCCGCCGCCGTGACCCTGTTGTCGCGAAAGACCCTTCTCGAAACCGCCTCGATATGCAAAGTGACGTTACTCGCGGTTGTTGCGTGTATCCCGGTATCGGTTATTCGCGTGGTCAATGGCGGATGGTGACGGTGTCGCGTTGTCGCGTCGCGAGATTCGACGTGATATACCGCGATACGGACGGACTCATCCTATGCATGTCGACGCTGCGCGAATCGTCGCTCGAAGGAGCAGACGATGTCTCGGATCTCAACAAAGGACCAAAATTGAACGCCATAGACGCTGATCAGCAACGAGAGTACTAGGCGCTGATAGTACGACTGATCAATCGAACGTTTCGACGCTACAATTGCCCACTGAACGCTATCGATTTGAAGGATTCGGGCGTGGAAACGTGCAGCATAATAGGCAAGAAGAAATACTGGAAAACGCTGGAGCTCGCGCGAGACCATTTTGTCACCAAAAGATTCGAGAAATACGCCCAGGAATTCGTCAAACTTACGGTAAACACGTTGCAGCGCAATGTCGTGAGTATCCTCGCGACGCGTCCGGAGGTGGCTCGTTGCCGACTAGTGATCGAGGATCAAGTGGCGTTTTTTGTAACGATGTTCGCGTCGCTGAATCGTTACTACGCGTCGCACGGCGTCGAAGCGTTTGCTTTCAATCTGGCGCTCAATCCGCGCAGTGTGATCGGATCGGAAGCCAGTTTCATTCAAGCCACGATCGAACGGTACGGTTACAGTCCGAGTGATCGCGTGCACTGCGTGTTCGCGTTGGACGTTAAGGATCCGAACGCGACCAAATTTTGTCTATTGCGGGATTTTCGCTCGGATCGCGATCGATTGAATTACTACAAGATCGTTAGACGACTCGCTGTATTTCGTACAATCGTGGAATTCAAACGGCATATCGACGATCCTGAAAAACGACGTACACGACCGCCGCGATCGAACGACGTACGACTGGTTGAAACACGAACAACGATCGTGGCGCCATGACTCGCGCACGACCGCATCGACCGCTCGATCCAGCCACCTATCGATGCTCGAACGACGCTGCTTCCGTGCCGACCTGTCCCGTACGATTCCGGAACCACGCATCGATCCGTACCGATCGAAAATATTCCATAATAAAAATATATGAAGATAATAACAGGCGCCAGTGTACGGTTCCTTTCCCGTCGCGACAACGGAGAAGCAAATACGAACTTTCACGGCACTTTTGTCGCTCGAATCATTCGTGATCTTATTCGTACGATAAAGCGTCGTTTTCCACGTCGGACGACGTACGTATTCTTCGATGAGTGCGACGACACAGCCCAGATGCGTACGTTGTCGTCAAAAACGAACAATACGAAATACCATTGCCATTCAGCGGTCGCTGCATCGACTATTTTCGCGATGTAAGCACGAACGACGGGAGGCGCGACAGCGACGGCGGCCTCACATTTTCGTTGCCATTCGCACCGGTGCAACGTCGAATCACCGCCTCCTTCGAGGACACTCATATCATCGCGCTTCTCGCAATCGATATCGTTCAACAATCGCGAAATCTCCTCGCTATCGTACAATTTGTATCGTCGCGATTTCATCCAGAATCGATTCATCGTTTTTCGCGATTTCCAACACATCCGAGAGAACATTACGACGTTCGCTCGATCGATCGATAAATCGCCGGTCGATTAGAGAAAAGCAGTCCCGAGAAACAACGGTGCCGCAACGAATGTTGCGTTGACGGTTAATGCGGTCTTGATGCGGCGTACGGATCGATCGATGTGTAGTTCGGTCAATCGACTCGCCATCACAATTGCGATTCGGTTTCTCAAAATGGGCACTTCGATCGCATGCGTCAACGCGCACCGCCGAAACAATTCGTCGATCCTTGTGGACTAAGAGGTGAGATAAAAATAGACAATTTTTTAATATTCATTGTTCATCGTTCACTTCGCCTCATTCACCGCTCAATACGCGAATGCATTCTCTCGCTGCACCAAGATAAGACAACGACCGTTGGACGGTAAGACCGATGTGAGGACTGCGACAAGAGATGAGCAATGGAGATGAAGAATGCGCCACCGTTTCATTCCGG